TCCGCAGGCCGACGCTCTATCCACTGAGCCAAACCGGTTTCGGCAAGTTTTCAAATTTTTATCATATAAAAATAATAGGAGGTTGCAAGGGCTGCAGACTCTCAAGGGGGAGGTGCCTGTGGAAGTCACTCTGGCACCGAGGCTGGCTTCCCTGGGCCTGCTGGGAGAATAGGGATGGCTTAGGGGCCAGGCTAGGCTCTTGTGAGAGAGGTGCCGCCCTTCAGGACTGGCTTTCGCTGATCTGGTCTGGGCTTCGAGCCTTGGGGCTCGGCTCTGTCCTTTGGGTCTAGGTTCAGCTCTGGGTCTGGGGTCGGCTCTTTGGGGATGAAAATAATAATAATAGCTAATTTTGGGGGTGCTTTATATATGCCAAGTATAATGATATGCCCCTTAAATGTATCATTATTTCAGCGAATCCTCCCCCTCAGCAATAAGCTTCATTATTTAGTTTTATGTTGAATATCTGAAAAAAACAGAGGATACTTTCCTCCTGGAATTTTTAGAGATCTTTTATTGATTTTTAGAGAGAAAGGGAGAGAAACATGATGCCAGAGAACGAAACATTGATTGGCTGCCTCCTGCATGCCCCCAATCGGGGATCAGGAATAGAGAGGCAACCCGGGCATGTGAGCCCTGACCAGGAATGGAACCGGCAACCTTTTGGTGCACAGGATGACACCCAACCAACTGAGCCACACTGGCCAGGGCTCTAATCTGCATTTCTAAGGTGCCAGGACAAGGCATTTGCCCGTTTGTATGCCAGGTATTTAGGACCCATGTGTAAAGACCTGGAGGGCACCTTGTGGTCCATGTTGAGGTTAGCGGGTGGACGTGTGGAGGGCCTCACTGTCTGCCCTCAGAAGGGTCAAGGAGTCACTGGGTGGAGGACGGGCCTCCAGCTGCAGAGGGAGAGATGCCACCATGAAGATCAAAGTGGAGAATGGACCTTCCTGGGGCCAGGGGGTCACTGGAGCGAGCCAGAGGTCATCTGGTGAAGCTAAGTCAGCTGTCAGCACATCTGGTGGGGCCCCTGGTGGTGACATTGCCCTCTCCTGCTCCCTCCCTCCCTCCCCATCCAGTGCACAATGTCACTCATCTACCTCATCGTGGAGGATGTTTTCCTGCTCATCAACTACTTCAGCTTCAGCTACTGGTTTTTTGTGGGCCTGTCTGTGGCTGGACAACTCTACCTTCGCTGGAAGGAGCCCGAGCGGCCCCGGCCTCTCAAGGTCAGTGGCTCTGGGCAGACGAGAAGGGTGGGCCCTTTCCCAAAGGTGCCTTCTTTTCCATATCGTTCCCCCATCCCACATTACCTGATATCTCACCTCCCTTCATTTCAGCTGAGCCTGTTTTTTCCCATCGTGTTCTGCATATGCTCCTTGTTTCTGGTGATTGTGCCCCTCTTTGGAGACACCATCAATTCCTTCATTGGCATTGGGATCTCCCTCTCCGGAATCCCCGTCTACTTCCTGGGTGTTTACCTGCCAGAATCCCGGAGGCCGCTCTTTGTCCGGAATATCCTGGGTGAGCTTCTTTGCCCATCATCACTGGTTGTGTGTGTGTGTGTGTGTGTGTGTGTTCACAGATGCGTGGGAGAGATGGGCATGGTAGCTGGCTTCCTCCAAACTAGTGATGTGCTAGAGGCCATGAGACCTGACTGCCCCACATGACTTCTTCCCTTTTTATCTTGATATGATCATTTTACTTCTATCTTTAGACTCCTATTTTGGGGTTAAAACACTACCTCTTATAAGTGCAATATAAGTGTAAAGACTCTGGTTGGGCTCAGGACTGGGGATGCTAAGGCTGGTTGGGGGTGAGGGGCAAAGCCTGGCACAGGGTACCCAAGGGAGAGATGAGCAGGGAGCCACAGATGTGCTGTGAACAGCCTTGTGGTGTTCAGATTGGGGTTGTAGATGAATGTGTTTACTCAGTTCTCTTCTTTTCCCATTTAGCTGCTATCACCAAAGTCACCCAGAAGATTTGCTTTTGCGTCCTGACTGAGCTAGATGTAGCCGAAGAGACAAAGGTTGAGAGGAAAACTGACTAGAGGCCAGAGGTGAAGTCCCCTGAGGCCTGGAAGGTTTTACCTGTGGCCACAGTCACCAAAGGCCAGATGGCAAGACTGTGTGGACCCAGCCCTCTTGTACTAAAGGAGCCTGTTGGCACACACTATGTCAGGGGTGGAGGGCTGATGGCTTCCTCAGGTGCTCACTCTCATTGGTAAGCTATGGGAGAAGAGAAGACCGAGTCAGGGGCCAGCATGAAGGTGGGGGCGGGGGAGGGCTTGGGGATGGTTGTTGAGTTTTGTTCCTGCTGGGTGGTGTGTGTCGCCCTTACAGACACTTGGTGAGTTGCACTAGGGGAAGAGGGAGTGCTAGCTAGGTTAGCTGTGGCTGGTGGTTTCTAAACTTGGTACTCGAGGTTGGAACCAGGAGTCTCGACAAAGGGGCTGCTTTTATGACAAGTTTTCCTCTGACCAGGTCCAGGCACCTGACTTCAGAGGCCTGAAATGCTACCATTTCTTCCTCGGGTTCAAAATCCTTCCCTGGGGGATATGGTTGTATTCCATTATTTATTTATATTATTTAATCCAGAACACCAATTCTAGGTGAGTCCTGGTATTCATCTACAGGATGCAGTAGGCTGTTTATAAATGCAAAGTACCCAAAGATGAGTCCCTCTGTCCTCAGAGGTGTCTCTACGTGGTGGTGGGTCAGACTCTGACCACAGATTTTTTTTTTTTTTTTGCTTCGTTTTAGCACAATCTTCTGTTGAGTCTTACCTGCAAAGGTGAACTTTAAAGATTTTTTACTCACGTACCGATTACACTTTAGTATACGTTACAAGCACCTGGGGTTGTAGCTGACACATGAACAAATTCATGCGTCTGAAGTCTGGCACTACTGTTGTTTTGAAGGAGAATCCTTTATTACACTTGAGAGCTTGTCTGTGTTCTAGATGATCAAGTACACCGCTGGGTTTCTGGTACGAACTTTAAGAGGACAGAAACTTCTCGTTCAGGTACATCACCTGAATTCTCTCAGCTGTCAATGTCTCATGGACTTGAGCCACCAAATAGCTTGTTCCACTCACTAAGGGTCGGTGTGAGGGGCTGCTGCGCAGACCCACGCAAGCCCTCCTAGGTGCTAGACGTGGTCGTTTTCTTTTTCTGGAAACCTCACACCAGGCCGCATCCGCTTGTCCCCAACACCAGGCTTTGTTTACACTGAGCCGCCTTGGTGTGGATCACTGGGACAGTGCACTCCTCTCCCGCCTGCCTCCTGGGGCGAGGTCTGGTGGGGCTTCAGTCTCAGGAAGACCTTGGTACTCCAGGGGACTTCTTTTTTCCCATGGAGATCAGTGAAGACTCTGGGAAAAAAGCTGCTTTAACCTCAGTCTGGCTCCTCAGCAGACTGCACGATCGGACATAACTAATTCTGGTGCTCAGGCTGCTCTTTAACACCCAGGTCAGGCAGAGCAGGTTTGGCCTAGAGGATGCTCCTTCATGGGCAGCTTGGCTGCACTGGATTGTACAACTCTCCTAGGATGACCTCAGACCCAATCATCCTGGGCCCAGAGAACCTGCTGGCTTGGCACACCCATGGGCTTCTTGTCCTTACGGTTTGGAATTGACCAATGGTAAAGACAAGAAGCACGAGGCAATCTCCCTTTCTGTTTTTCTCCACCAAACTGGCTCATCTCAGGCAAGGGCGTAACCTTGGTCAGACCTGCTCGATACAAACAATTTAAGGGAGCATGCTCACAATTGCTTTTGGTTCAGGGCAAGCATCTGTGAGAACATAGGGGGCCACTCCTACTATCATGGGTTGGGGATTTGCACTGCAAATTCCTGTCTACAACAGGGAGCCCATACAAAGGGTGACTTGCCTAGACTATGTACACACGACTCTTGTCTGAGCCAAGCTGGCACCTGCTCCAGGGATCCTTTAGAGCGAATCCTTGAAGTAGAGTGCGCTTGTTTTGAGGACCCCTGAGGCAGGCTTTGGCTTCCTCCACTCAAGCAAATGACCAGCTCACCCCAGGAACTTGCTGTTTCCCGTTAGCTCCTGGGAAAACAAGGGCCTCCACACCCCAGGTGCCCTCACACTGGCTTAGTGAGCCATGTCACCCTCCTCCCATTAGTGGATGGCGACCGCATTCTTCCCCTCTGTGCTGCGTACAGACTTCCTAGAAACCCTCCTGTGGGAGGGAAGCCAGACTTCCACTCAAGCTTTGTGGGGGAATTAATTTCCATGAGGGTTTTGTTCCTTAGCCTCATTTCTTCTCCTGGTATGCTAATCCCTTTTGCACTGAGTACAGTTTGTGAAGTTGTTAAGCCCTTTAATGTTGGCAAACTTTAATGAGCACATAAATAGCAATGAACACATCATACTGGTACAGAGTGGTTTTTAATCCTTCTTTTACTATAGACTAAGATGACTAGTGTTGATGTACATTTAAGTTGCTGCCTCTTACTTGTGACACTGAATTGTACCTTTGTGGATAGTTAGGGTGGGAAACCAATAGTCTGTTGGTTTTAGAGCCACAAGAGTAGAGCCTGAGCACACATACACATACAATTTAATCATTCAGGTTTAACAACTCTGTGTACATAGGAACCGATGTAGATAAATGGGTTTAGGGAGGATGGGAAAGTAGATGCTTATGAAGTCTTTAAAAGATGTGGGAAGACACATCCCTGTGTAATTCACCTTCCCCTGTGATAGTGAGTGTGCGCTATGGGGCAAGAGGGCATGTCTTGAATAGAAGGTTCTGGGTATTGATTGCCCTATACCTGCACTGACCAGTACAGTAGCTACTAGCCACATGTCGCTACTTAAAATAAAGTTGAAAAATTCCTGTCACACTAATCACATTAAAAGTGCTCAGCCACATGTGGCTAGTGGCTACCACCGCACAGGGCATATATAGGACACATTCGTCTTTGCAAAAGTTCTACTGACAACGAATGCTACATTAGAAGACTAAATGCCAACTCAGTCTGAGTTAAGGCATCTGTGCTTTGGAAGGGGTAGGGGCAGAAATGTAAATTCTGGGGAAGAAATTTTGTCCTATTGATAGTTTTTGGTGAGTGCTGTAAATAGTTAAACATTTCTTAGTGGAAAGCTAAGTTCAGGATGTGTTTTCCTTTTCCTAATTTGCTTTAAGTCCTCTGTGTCTCAGGTCAATTCTGAAACTTTTATCTCACTACTCCCCCATTTTTGGTGGGGGGCAGGAAGGGGAGAGGGAGCACAATGGAAAACATATTCAGATTGAAAAGGTTTTAAAGGAATTACTTGCTCCCATAGTTAGTGTTTTTACTAAATGCAGAATATCACATTCATACATACCGTTCCTTGGTACCACTGCTAACGAAAGAGCAATCTTTACAGTCATTATCATAGGAAGCAGGGAGGTAGAGACAACTGTCAACCAAACCCCTCACAGCTCAGGCAGATTCTTCCTCTACTGGCCATTACTACTCAGTGTGTGTTCCTACAAGAGACCCACTGTAGCCCTTCTAGATTTTCCCGTCAAAAAGAATCAGGCTTTTACTGGGGGCGGGTGCCTGGTGGCATGGGAAAGTTGAACCTAAGTTCTCATGAAACAGCCTCTCTTCCACTTACTGGCTTTAGCGTAGAAGAAGAGCAGGAAAATGTCTAGGCCAGGAAGCTTCATTTTATGTTTTTTTGTTTGTTTTTTTGTCCCCTAGATTGCAGGGTCACTTGAATGAGGCAAAGCATCCTACTATTAATGGAAAAGAGATACTCCTTCAGCACACGTTTTCACTGCTATGATGGTGCTGTTGGACATGCTTTCTCCTTCCGTGTGTTATGCCAGGAAACCCACTACCAGGGTGGCTGATAAGGCAGTCAAAGCCCTCAAGGGCCTGTGATAGAACCTCATGGTTGTCCCAGGATCCTCAGTCCGAGTCCAGGTCATGAGTGCTGTCATAGCCAAACTCCTTCTGCACATCCAAAGGGTATTTGCTCCATGTCTGTGGTCTGCTGTTGCCTCTTTCCTCTTCACTGAGGCCGTTGCATTCATCAGAGCCTGGAATGAGAGAACAGGAATGGACTCCACCTGCATCATTTTTTTTTGGCGACTGTGAGCTCCTTCCCATCTCAAAAAGGTCCGGGCTTTTGTTTTTGTAAATAATTTTTTATTGATTTTTAGAGAGGGGAGAAGGGAGAAGGATAGAGAGATAGTAACATCAATGAGAGAGGAAGTTATTGATTGGCTGCCTCCTGCACAGCCACCACTGGGGATCGAGACTGCAACCCGGGCATGTGCCCTCACAGGGAGTCGAACCAGTGACTCTTGGTTCCTGGGTCGATGCTCAACCGCTGAGCTACACCAGCTGGGCTGGTTTGTTTGTTTGGTTTTTTTATTTTGGTTCATTACTTAAAAATACTTGCTCAATAAAGAGAATTCAGGGGAACAATTTGAAAAGATCTCATTTCTACCATTTAAACCAAGTCTTTTAACATTGGGATATTTTGTCATTTCTCCCTTAAGTATAGAATTTTTTTTTAATATAATAGTTGTAGTCGTAAATATAATGTTGAACCTTGCCCCTTTTAATATATTATGGGCACTACAGAATATTCTGTAGTTTGATCTAATTGTTCCTCCATTAACAGACACAAATAAATTCTTTTTGTTGGCACTTAGAACCTCTCCAATACTTTGTTAGACCGAAGCAGGGAAAGAGACACTGAGCTAGATGTTTCACTTAATCTCTACCAGTTGATGCAATATTCTTATTTTCTGGAGGGAAAATGAGGCTCAATAAGATGAAGTAACTTGCCCAAGATCCACAGCTAGGCAATGATAGAACTAAGGATTTGAACCCACACCTGACTGACATTACACTCTAATAACAACCCCCCCAACTCCAAACACTGGTCTGTGGGTCTTCTATAGCTCCAACAGCTTATGATTGAGCTGCACGAGCTCAATGGAGAAGGAAAGCTAGCTAGAATGGATCTGTCTTCTGTACGCATGCCTCAGTCTTGGATCCCAGCAGTCCCTCCCCATCCAAGGCTGCCACCC